TTAATACTTGCAAAAAGCCAGTATTATAACGTGTATCTGTAACAGTGGGATGCACAGCCGGGGGGATACACTCCCAAGTCCCGGCGGGCTGCACGTCCCGGTGTCCCTCATTCCCCGGTGTCCTCGCTCCCCAGTGCCCCTCATTCCTCCTGCTGGGGTCCACCAGGACCCCATTTCTCCCTGCTGGGATACAGCAGGACCCCGTTTGGCCTCGCTGGAATACAGCAGGACCCCGCTGGGTGCAGAACCCTGCAGGGGTTCACTAGAACCCTGTTCCCCCTGCTGAGGTTCACTGGAGCCCCGTTTCTCCCCGGTGCGGCGCAGCAGAACCCCGTTTCCCCCCGTTGGGATGCAGCAGGACACTGTTTGTCCCCACTGGGGTTCACTAGAACCCCGTTTCCCCTCGCGGGGGCTCACCAGGACCCTGTTTCTCCCGGTTCCGGTGCAGCAGAACCCCCTTTCCCCGTTGGGATGCAGCAAGACTTCGTTGGGGTTCACCATGACCCGGTTTCCCCCCGTCGGGATGCAGCAGGATGCCGTTTCCTCCCATTGGGGTTCACTAGAATCCCGTTTCCCCACGTTGGGGTTCACCAGGGCCCCGTTGGGATACAGCAGGACCCCGTTTCCCCCTGCTGAGGTTCTCTAGAACCCCGTTTTCCCCGGTTGGGATGCAGCAAGACCCTGTTGGGGTTCACCAGGACGCTGTTTCCCCATGCTGGAGTTCACCAGGACCCCGTTTCCTCTCACTGGGGTTCACCAGGACCCCGTTTCCTCTCACTGGGGTTCACCAGGACCCCGTTTCCTCCCACTGGGGTTCACCAGGCCCCCCTTTCCCTGCGCTGGGGTTAACCAGGACACTGTTTCTCCCCGTTGCAGTGCAGCAGAACCCCGCTTCCTCCCGTTGGGGCTCACTAGGACCCCGTTTCCCCGCGCTGGGTTCACCAGGACCCCCTTGGGATACAGCTGGACCCCGTTTGTCCCCGCTGAGGTTCACTAGGACCCCGTTTCTCCCGGTTCCGGTGCAACAGAACCCCATTTCCCCGTTGGGATGCAGCAAGACCCCGCTGGGGTTCACCAGGACCCGGTTTCCCCATGCTGGGGTGCACCGGGGCCCCGTTTCCTCCCGTTGGGGTTCACCAGGACCCGGCTGGGATACAGCAGGACCCCGTTTCCCCGCGCTGGGGTTCTCTAGAACCCCGTTTCCCCCCGTTGCGATGCAGCAGAACCCCGCTGGGGTTCACCATGACCCGGTTTCCCCGCGCTGGGTTCACCGGGGCCCCGTTCCCCGTTCCCGGTGCCGCTCTCTCTCCCCGCGGGGTGCCGGCTCCGCCGCCGGGCGCCCGGTGCGCACGCGCGGGGCCCCGCCCCCGCCGCCGCTCGCGGTGCATTGTGGGACACAAACAAAGTGCCCGGGCGGCGCGCGCGGGAGCTCGGACGGAGGCGCGCGCGCTCCCCCCTCCCCCCCCCGCGCCCTCACCGGGGCCCCGTTCCCCGTTCCCGGTGCCGCTCTCTCTCCCCGCGGGGTGCCGGCTCCGCCGCCGGGCGCCCGGTGCGCACGCGCGGGGCCCCGCCCCCGCCGCCGCTCGCGGTGCATTGTGGGACACAAACAAAGTGCCCGGGCGGCGCGCGCGGGAGCTCGGACGGAGGCGCGCGCGCTCCCCCCTCCCC